CAGATTGGCATTTGGGCCCTCGTTACCCTGAGTGACACTTCCCAGTCTGCAGGAGGCCAGGCTGAGGGACACCACATCAGGGATTCAGCACACGAAGAAGATGGATGTTGTTTAGCCAGAAAAGATTAGGACTGTAAAAGTCTTTTGGGTCTATCCAGAAATGAGGGGAATGCCAGGAAAAAATGCCATGTGGAATTAGGAATAATAGAGTCAGAATTATCTCACTGCTATTGTCTAAGGCATCTCTAAGACACCTTAGGGACTTTGGAGTTCTACTCCATGAAGGTGCTTAGCTGGATGGTGCTTTTGCAGGAACATGCTCCAAGGACCACACCCCCCTCCAAAAAAACCTCCCAAAATACAAGGAAAGAAAAAGAAAGAAAGGAGAACTTTGACAGCTCTTTATTTCTGGCAAATGCTCTTTTCTTTAAGCCTACAACACCCAAACTCTTTGCAAATGGCCACCCGTATCAGTAACAGAATGCCCAATCTAACCCAGAGATTAAAAGTTCCATCTGCAGACCAGGAAATAATTGGGAAGTTGATCCTTTGCTCTTTTTGGCCACTGGAAAGGAAAAACCACATAGTTTTAACAGCTCTGCCTCAGGATTGGGACTCCATATGTCACCTGGCAGAAGGAGGAATCTCCCAGACCCTCTAATGACCTCATTTGTTCTCCATGGGTCTAACCAGGTGAGCAGGACAGCACAGGTGAACCCAATTTCTTCTTTGCTCCATCTCCAAAGGGACCTGAGCACAGAGACTTTACCCTCTGAAGGCTGAGCCAAAAACTACTTCTAATATTTAGATCCTTAGTACGAAATCAATTAGCATCAGCAGTTCTTAGAGTCAAACTGCGTAAGAAAGTATATAAAGAGAGGAAAAAAAGACCAGGTTTTATCTTGAGAGCCTTTAGGACAGGTAGAATTCCTCCAGAGGATTTAACCCTTTGGAGCTAGCACGGCATTTTCTTGCAATGCATGCACATTTTGTGTGGCATCTCCTGGCAGATCAGCACTGAACCTATGCTGGGTTTTTCCACTGCTTTTCATAAATACTGAAAGCAAAACCCATGAGGAAAAGAGAGTGAGAGGAAAATAATACAGACAACATTTCTATGGGCTTCTTCCCCAAATCAACCAGGAATTACACTTAAAAACTTCACATCTCCTCCTACTGACCTGCTCATCCAGACTCATTGAAACCCCTTGGGCACACCTAATTTGGCTGATTTAAGTTTTATCCATCAAAGCCAATGACTATTTTCTTGCTATCTTTTACCTCAAAGGTGTCTTAATCTACTGTCAACTCAACTTCTACTTCTATGAACCAGTAGAAGAACAATACTGCAAGAAGGTCTGATGGCTCAGATAGGTAACCTACTGTCATGCAAATCTTTAGACAAAAGGTATGTTTCCAAAGCCAGGCTTGATTTCACACCACAAATAAGCACAAACTTGCTTTAAATCTGTCTCCAGATATTCCAGAGGAAGGACATGGTCCCCTCTAGCGGAAAACTATGGAATATGAGGAGCAGGAGAACCCGCAAGTTATTCCTCCTGGCTCGGGATCTCAGTTGTTTCCTCCAGCCCACCCTTGCCATGCACACAGCATCAGGTTAACCTAAAGAAAGCAGAGATAGTGTCATTACTCCCTGGATAGCTGAGCCTTGGGTCTTAAATCCTACTTTCGGCCTCTGGGATTTGTTGCTGGATTAAGTTGTTTTTTCATACAAATCAGTTTGTCTCCGATCTCATCATTACAAATTCCTTTTGCAAAGCTTCAGCACTGTGGGTGTGATTTTTTTCCAATGCAATTTCTCCACCTGGTGGTGTAAAAGCAGCTCCCAAACTGCTGCTGCTCAGGGAGTGTCATTTTACACCCATTCAACATCATCTGCCTTTCAGATTCCACCTGACCACTGTAACGGGAGCTAAGGAAAAATCCACACCAGTTTGGTTCTGGGCCTGTAAATTTTCTTCCCTCCATGTTCACTTCAGGCACTAGGACAAGTTTTGTTGGGCAGGATGTTTCCTGCAACCCCCAGTCATATACTCCCTGCATTCCACCCACACACTGTCACTCTGAGAACTCAGAAACAAGTTGATCTACCCCTCAAGTTACCCAGGGCTGGCTCTTTCCAGAGGATAAATAGATTTCTTTCAACACATGGCCACAGACTAATGTGATCTGATCTGTAAGACTTTGAATGCATTTGCTGTCTTATCTTGGCAGAAAGGAATGAAGATGAATTGCAAAGGTTCCAGAAGTCATAATGTAGTATTATATTTTTATTTGTATTGTTTTTTGGTGTGAGAGAGACAGTTTTTCTGGGAGGAAAGGGTTAAGGAAAGAGCACTCTGACTCTGATAATGAGCTTAATGGCAAAGTAAAGGGACAGATTTTCCTCACTGAAGCATTTGAATCAGGAATAAATCTGCTCCTCTTCCCTCTCTGAGCCAACATCCTCATTCTACACATCCAAAATTAATAGCAGGATTAAGGGCTATGACTCCAGCTGCAGGGCAGGGAAACCAGTTTTCCTGCCCAAATCACAGCTGGATCCCATCCTGCAGCTGCTTTACCTGTGAAATGGAGTATATTAGACACAAGCATCCACTCAGGCCCCCCCAAAATGCACAGTGAGCTCAGGCAACCTGGGGCAGGTGCCAGGGAGTGACATCTCTGCACGCAGGCAGAGAATGCAATGAGAAAAATCTATTTATTTTTCTTTATTTTCTTTGTGACTCCTAATTAAACAGGGTAATAACAGCAGAAAGCAGGTGAATGGAATGTAGTGATTGACAGCTGCTATGTTTCTGTGTGGTGGAAGTAATGTGCTGCCATTAAATGACACCAGGAGTCTCTGCAGCTCCCTGAGGGAAGATAAACTGATGCCTCACCAGGTGTTACATATGTACACACCCTCCCAGACTGGGTTACAGACTTGTCCTCCCCCCCAGCTGGGTCTATGACTGTTGTTTTTGCTTTTATTCCAGGTGAAAAGATGGATAAAAATCCTGTTCATATAAACTGATGCCTCCTCAGGTGTTACACATGCATACACACACAGACTGGATTATATAGACCTGTGCTCCTGCAGGGCTTCCTTCCCCATAGCTGGCTCTCTGACTGTTGCTTTCCCTTTTAGTTCTTTTCCTTATTTTATGTAGAGCGCAGTTTCTGACCCAGAAACCTGGAAATCTGAGACCTCTCAGCCTGAGAAGGGACTTGAAAACAGATCCTTTGCTCCTTCCTGAAAGCTGCAATCCTCACTCACCTCCAGCCTTGGTAAAATTTGGGCTGGGACTGAGATTCAGACTTAAATCTAATGTCTGTATGAATATAGTGACAATCCTTGTTGGCTCCAACCACTTCTCTATGTATAAGGGCTGAATTTCTAACCCTGATTTCCCTCTAGCATGGCAGATCATACCTGGGGCAGTGAACTGTCACTGTTCATGCTCTTTCTAAACATTCCTGTGGCTGTGAACATCATTCCCATCTTTTCTATTCAAATCTTACACCACTCCTTCAATAGCTCTGGTGGTTTTGAGGCCTTTTATGAGCTGACTGAATGCATTAATACAACAGAACATTCTCTTCATGTAGTTAGGTTCATTTCTACCAGGATGGGTTGGGTAGGAGAGAAGGAAAAGGGAAGATGGGACAAGGAAAGGTGGGACAAGTGAGAAAAGTTTTACAGTGATGTATCAACTCTGTCCACGTTGAAACCACAGTGGGAATAGAAAACAGTTGGATTAAAATTAATCTAACTCATGGAGCCTTAGTAAAATAAAGGACTGGACATTACTCCTTCCTTGCCCATGGAGCAGACAAATCCATGCCAATGGATATGCCCAGAGTGGGTGTATTCAGCATATACAACAGGTAGAGCTTTAGTCATCAGAACACCTTGCAAACTATCCCCAATTAGCTTTTTAGCTAATTACCCCATGGCTGTTAATTTTAAGGCATAAATTGCTGAGCTATTTACAAAACACACCAGGAGAAATGATACTTCTGATTAAACTACTCTTACAAAGCTTCCAGGAGGTGAGAGAAATAACAGCTACATAAAAGGGAAGCAAAATTTCTGGATTCAGAAGGGCTCAAGGAGAGTTCAAGACTGGAACATATCCAGCCCTGCTCCCTGAGACTCTGAGTTTGGGCTGCAACATGCTGAGTATCTTCACATCTCCTTCATCCCAGTGGGCTCTTGTTGCCATTGCTGAAGGGATGGTGAACTGAGGACAGCTAGAGCCTACAGCAGCACAGATCTAGTCTGCTTTATTTACTCTGTGCACATCTTCCTACAGCTTGATTTATGTCTTTCATCAGCAAAATAAAGACAAAAGGCAGACAAATCTGGAAGAGATGCAGTTCCTTCTATTTCCTCCAGCAGTCCAGAGAAAATGAGTCCAGGCTCAGTCCAGGTATCTGAGCAGGAAGGAAAGCTTCCTCCAATGTGCCCAAGTCATCTCACAGAAACCACACCAGCCATGCCTTAGGGTTTTAGCATCCAGGATTTATGTAATGCCTCAAATTACCCACATGCAAATCCTATTTAAGAGGTGATGAGTGCAAGTAAATATTTAGCAAACTCTTTAAGGTCTTCAAGAAGAAAAAACTGGAGATGAATCATGGCCTCTTGCTAGTTTAGATCTTCATCTCTGTGTATTTCCATGTTTATCCAAACTCCTGAATCTCATTCCACGTTGCAGTTTGTTTCTGATTGCTGTTACCACATAGCTCTGCACTGTGTACTTTGTGTATAAGACACTGTCCAGTCAAATGGCCTCATTTTCCTTCGGTGACCAGTGACTTGGTCTTCAAAAGGGGATAAATCCATACATCCAGTGGAACTGAACAGCTGGACTACATGGAGACAGCACATCCTGTCTGCTCCCAGTGCTTTTCCCCCAGCAATGTGACAGTTCTCTTCCCCAAAAACTGCCAGCACTGCCTTTAGCAGAGTCACTTCTTTGCTGGAGCCTTACCATTAACTTTGGTGCCTCCTTCTGATTTTCCTGCTTCACCTTCTTTTTCCCCTTTCTTCCTACATCCTTGTTTCTTGTCATTTGTGTCCTTTCCCCCCTTTTCTTCTTTTTCTCCTTTTTCTCCTTCTTTCTTTTTGCCTCCATCCATCTCTTCTTTCTTGGATTGTTATTTCTGCTCCTTTTCACCATCCTTCTTGGAGTTTTTGGATGCATCTTTCTTACCTTAAGACTTGTCCACTTTTCCAGATACAGTGGGAACTTCTTCTTCTTCTTTTTTCTCTTCTTCTGCCTGACCTGTATGCAAGGATGGGAAAAGAGAAAAGGAGTTAACGTGGTTGACACTAGCCAGGAAGAGGCCAAACTCCTGCTCCCTGCTGGCAGTCTTGGACAAAGGGAAAATACTTCCACTGGGACTTCGTTCACACAACTGTTTGCTCACTGAGAAGCAGCACTTCTTAGCTTTGTTTTGAGCGGACATTGGGATAAAGCAGAACTAATCATTTCAAGAGCTGAGTTGTGGATCTGTTGGAGGAAATGGCTCCTGTTGGTAGGAACTGATGCATGGACATTATAACCACGGCCTATACGCATTTCCCAATCATGACATTCAACATGGAATTGTTTCCTCTCACAAGGAGGAACAGAAACATCTCTCATGAACTTCAGTACAATCTAGGGTTTATTTTTAGTCATTTGGCTTTTCTATTTCTTTGGCTATGAGGAATGTCTCTTACAGCTGTGTGGACAGCAGGGATTATCCTGGGAAGCTGAGGGACCGTGGATTTGTATTAGATATTCAGAAGGGATTCTTTATTATAAAGATGGAACAGGTAGCCCTGAGAAGCTGTGGCTGCCCCATCCCTGGAAGTGTTCCAGGCCAGGCTGGATGGGGCTTGGAGCAACCTGGGCTAGTGGAAGCTGTCCCTGCTTATGGCAGCGGGTGGAACTAGATGATCCTTAAGATCCCTTCCAACCCAAACCATTCTATGACTTTATGATCTTGGATTCAGTGTCCACATTTCAGGTCGGAAGTCTCCTAAGGGTCACTCTGGTTCTGCAGACTTTAATTATTGTAACAAAGGATTGAGCAGCATTTTTCTTATTTTCCTTCTACTAGAAGTGATTCTATTTCTCTCAAGTACATTCTCTCAAGTCAGATTAATGCACTGAACTCTCACCTCAAACAGCAATTTGACACTTACACACAGATCATATTACATGTATTTCTTACAGAAAGCTTTGCTCAAGGGTAGCAGAGTATAAAGTTTTACAAACTCAAGTGAAAGCGTGTTAAGTTTCCCATGACATTCTTCTCTGAAAAGGGAAAGGGACTTTGGAATGGAGGGGCAGGATAAGGAGGAATGGCTTCAAACTGACAACCGGATGTGGCGCCGTTCACCACCACTCTCTGGGCCATCCAGCCAGTTCTTAACCCAGCAGAGAGTGCCCCTGTCCAAGCCATGGACTGTCAACTTTTTCAGGAGTGTGCTATGGGAGACGGTGTCAAAGGATTTGCTGAAGTCCAGGTAGACTACACCCACAGCCTTCCCCTCATCCACCAGGTGGGTCACCTGATCATAAAAGGAGATCAGTTTGGTCAGACAGGACCTGCCCTTCCTAAACCCATGCTGGTTGGGTGTGATGTCCTGTCCATCCTGCAGGTGCTGTGTGATGGCACTTAGGATGATCTGCTCCATGACTTTGCCAGACACTGAAGTCAGGCTGACAGGTCTGTAGTTTCCCGGGTCCTCCTTGCAACCTTTTTTGTGGATTGGCGTGACATTTGCCAACTTCCAGTCATCTGGGGGGCTATGTGGCTTCCTAACTCATACCTGTTTTTCAAGGGCACCTCGGGAGGTGATGGGGGTCGGGAGGGGATTCTTTAACCTCTTCCATCAGGGACCTGTTTCCATTCCCCACCATCTACTTGGTTTGCTCCCTCTGCCTGAGGGCAGGATGGGGCTACTGAACTTCTTTTGGGGTCGAAAGGCTGCGACTCTGCCAGTCTATTACCCTTTCACTGTCCCTAATGCGTCTTAATCTCTCTACTTCTTCCCTGAGCTCTGCCAGCAGGCACAGCAAACCATTCCCCTGCTCACACCGTACGCAGGTGTGACTCACACTGTCCTATCAAACTAACGCCAGACCGAGGCATTCTGTGCTCAGTGACCTGCACAGCTGCATCCTGCACGGAGGGTTCTGTCTGGCTTACAACATTCCTCCTGGGAGCAGCAGTAAAACAGTTTTCGCTCGTGTAGATATCGTTGCTGGGTCTAGCTGAGTTGCGGAAAAAAAAATAATAAAGCAACAACAAAGAAAGAAATAGCAAGCAAGGTGGCTGTGCCCTTCCTGCTCGAACTGCTCGCACTGCAGAGCCCTGGGGGCTGTTTAAATCTCCTGCCAACGACACAGTCCAGCCCCGGTCCGCTGTGAGAGCCTCCCGCAGCCGAGCTCAGCTCCGAAAGGAGTTCAGTGGAAGGAATTCTTGGCTGTGAGGGTGGGGAGGCACTGACACAGGTTGCCCAGAGCAGCTGTGGCTGTCCCATCCCTGGGAGCATTCCAGACCAGGTTGGATGGGGCTTGGAGCTTCTAGTGGAAGGTGTCCCTGCCCCATGGCATGGGGTAGGATGAGATATCTTTAAGGTCCTTACAACCCAAACCAGTCTGGGATTTTATGATTCTATGAAACCTGAATTTGTTCTGTCCACCTAAGGTATTCCTTCAGTGTTCACACTAAAATAGAACATCAGTCTTTGACCTTGGGAACTGGCAATTCATTTGGCCATACAAGTGGGAGTAGAACAATGCAGACTCTTTCTTACAATCCCAGGGGAAATCCTGACATCTCATATTGAAAAAAAAAAAAAAAAGAAGAGGGAAGGAAAAAATAATAACCAACCCACCACATTGTCTCCTTCCTGGACAAATATGGTAGGAGCTAGGTGAACTCCCATAAATATCAGCTGGAGCAGCCTCAGAGCAGAATATTTGAAGATCTCCCAGGACATAGACTCAGACAGTACATCTCTACCCAGAGCAAAGGCCAAGTCCTGCTTGTTCTTCTCTCCCAGACTGGGAGACAGAACACGAATGAATCAATTTTTATATCACATTTTTACCACTGAAACCTAAAGTCCGTTTTATTTCTGCTCTATAAAAGGATTTGCCATATATCATACTCTAAGAAGTGCATGGAGAGCCTTTCAGGAGTTGAAATTTTCCATCAGAGTAAAGGTGAAGTAGGGTAAAATAATGCCAAGAAATGAGAATATTTAAGCATTGTAATATATACATTATTAATAGCATTTGACACTCACAGAAATCCTTTAAAACATTTAATGGCCACTCAGGAATGAAAGTCACTCAAGATACCATTCTGGCCTTGACTGGGTCACCCAGGGCTTGTCACAGTGGGAGTATAGAAATAGTAGACAAATCCATACATTATATTTCATGACCAAATAAATGCAGGTGTGATGCCAACAGGAAGTGGTGGAGCCTGAGAGCATCGCACTGTGTGCAGACAACAACGACAGCACAGAGGTGAATCCCAATACTTCCTATTGCAATGCCTAAATCCTGTACTGAAATTTTTTGGTGGGAACAGGATGAATTTCAGGAGGGCAAACCAGTGCCTTTGATCACACAAAGCCTTTGTGAGCTAGATTAGGTGCCCTCAGCTGTGTCAATCCTTTTGGCTCCTCAAGGCTGGAGACATAGAGGCAGTTTTAAGGCACAATTTACCTGTCCTACTTTAGCACTTTCACTTCCATGAAAGAAATGCAATTCTCTTTTGTTTTCCCCTGTGGATAAAGTCTGGACAAGCAATGCTGACACAGATTCCTCCATAGATGAGGATAGCATATTTGTAGAGAGATAATTCTCATCCCAGTACCAGTTTAGATGACTCCCATCCCAATACCAGTTCCTTCAGGTCAGTTTGAACAGATTTAGAACTGCCTAGATGCAGAGGACCAGGAGCTTCAGAGAACAGGGATTCATGAGTCATTACCAAGTATCAGCAGGCACTCAGCAACATGCTGCACATCAGCCTCCTACCTTGCACCATGCCAGGACCATCATTCTGGGATTCTCAAGGGGTGGTCAATATATAACTGTACAAAAGGTAGTTTAAATAAGCTTCATGGTGCAACTGACTTTACCTAAATTGATTTCTTGTGGGCATTTATTAATGAGTTCCTGCTGCAAAAGTTTCCCATGGTCTGACTAAAGCCACATCTAATATCCAGCCTGTGGATGGAGCACATGGACATAGCTGTGGGATGTAAAGGCTGCTTACAGGAGATCAAAAGTTCTTAGCGTTCTAGGGTGAAACAGTCATTCTTCTGCCCAAATAACCTTTCTGCCTTGTAATTTATCCTTAATTTATTTGTTTTCCAGAAGTAACAGCTTGGCAGGAAGAGGATGCAGCAGCAAATAAGTTAATTTGGCTTTCTGCTGCCTACAGGCACAACCCAACACACTCCCTGAGATCTACTCATAGCAGGTCCTTACAGAGTCAGAATTTGGTCTTTTGGGCAATGAATCAAAGGATTCTTTGATTCTCTGCCCCAGTGTGGGAATTTTCCATGTGTAAGATTGCATTAACTAGACCTTTGGATGACCTTTGACTTTCAAGTAGGTTAAGAGAATTTAACTGCATGAACAAGGACTTATTCCTGCCAGTTGTGTTTAGCTCCAGAGAGTGATCTGCTCATCCTCAGTGTATAGTCAGATGTCAGAACACCTCTGAAATCCTGAGGGATGTGCAAGTTCCTCCTGTTAAGCACTTAGTTCTGCATTTTGCTGGTGTAGGACTAAATTTCTACAATCATTTCTCTGCCTTTTCACCAGTTTCATGAACTGAAGCATCACATTTTGAATGAAGGAAACTTGCAGTTTCTATGGAGCTAGAGGTCACAGGGCAGAGACACAGCAAAGAGGAAAAAATGGTCACAAAAAGGTGTGGAGAAAACAGGTCAAATGCAGAAAGAGAACTGAGAAGCAGAGTCCAAGGGCTGATGGAACTCATCAGAAAGAGAAGCCACAGACAGACAGACAGGAAGGCAATCCCTTAATTTCCTTGCAGGGCCATTTCATCTTCTTCTTTCACCACAGGCAGGGAGTTGAGAGGTCTGGACTGGACATGACCAGAGAGAGTTAGGAGAGTTTCAGTAGAGCCTAGGGCATAGAACCAGGAAAGGTGAGTGAGAGCAGCAGAGATCAGTGACAGAAATCCTCTCGGCCATCCAAGCATGGCAAACCATTTATGGGTAACATGAAACTCCAATATCTCCTTTTCTTCCTACTGACATCCCCCAACCCATCAACTGACTCTGGAAATTTTAAACATGAACTTTTTGCTCTCTACAACTACCTGAAAGGAGGTTGCAGCAAAGTTGGGCCCTTCTCCCAGGCAACAAGCAACATGCCAAGGGGAAATGGCCTCAAGATGCAGCAGGGGAGGGTCAGGTTGGATATCAGGGAGAATTTCTTCATGGAAAGAGTAGATAAACATTGGAAGGGGTTTTCCAGGGAAGTGGTGGAGTGGTGGAGTCACCATCCCTGGAAGTGTTCAAAAACCAAGTAGACACAGCACTTTCAATGCGGTTTAGTGGGCATGGTGGGATTCAGTCAAAAGATCTTGAAGGTCTTTTCCAGTCTTAATGATTTTATGTTTCTATGACTTCAAAGAATGACCCTGACTTGTACGAATAGAAAAACTCATTTTCATCTAAGTGTCTGTTGCCACAAATGCTGCAGCAGGTTTAGAGCAGTGGGAAGGGATTATGCTAATAGTTGTGCCCAAGGATCCACAGTGACTTACACCAAGTTAGAACCTTTGCACTCATGCATGCAGAAAGCAAACCCAAAAGAAGAGATGTGTCTCATGTGGGTGTGGGCATGGGAAGTACCTCCAGGGATCTCTGTCAGCTCGTTGAGTGGTGGCACAGTATCCAGTTTGTCTGCATAGTTCTTGGCTGCTTGACGTTGAGCGTATCGTGCCTCAATCTCCTTCCTGGTCCGGGGAATCCGACACTTGAAGATACAGCACAGTGTGATAACTGGGAAAGGAGAGAAGGAAGCAAGAGCATTCCATTTAGACCTTGCTGGGCCATTTACAGTGGGAAGACAGAAGGAAAAAAATCATTTCAGAAGAGTGTCTTCCAGTAGGAACCTGTAGATGTTTCCATCAGTGGAAGTAACTGCGTGAGGGATAGGGTCACACTGTCTAAAGCCATTGAGTTACCTGAAAAGAAAGAATTACCTCTTCAGCTGAGCTGTGGTGAAGGACTGAGCATGTCCTTCACACCAAACCTAATGCCTTAAACCATATATACCAACAGTGTGTCTGAGCATCAGAGCACCAACAACTTAAATTCATTATCTTTTTGGACATGACAGCAGCAATGAAGATGTGCTGTCACCCCTCAACAGAGTGTTATTGCTAGAGGTTCCTGACAACACATCTGAGTCATTCCTTTCTGTGGTAGGTACATGCTGGGGCTGTGGACCTCCAGCTGAAGGAAGTAGTGAGGAATTTGGCATGGAAATACTGTAAATCCTTTAAAATAGATCCAGGAAAAGAGCTCAAAATTTGTCTTAATTGGCTTTCAACCAAATTAATTTAGTGCAGGGCAAGAATTGAATCCAGACCTCCTAAATTCCCCCATCATACACTTACTATTCCATTTAGTACTTAATTTTCCATCATGCTTCCTTCCATGAGCTGAACTACTCTACATGACTTAAGGATGCAAATTTTACTGTTCCTCTTGGTCAGATCTTCTTTCTCTTCATGCTTAAACCTACACATTGCTTTAGGATTTCAATCTGAAAATCTAATTATAATTCAAACAACTTATTGTAATGAAATCACTGTTGATAGGTTTCCTGGACCTGGACTTCAGAACTTGATCAGAACATTGTTGTATTCATGTACCACCTCTGACAACAGCAAAGCAACTGCAGGAGAAACATCAATGAGACTCAAAAGCTGTTAATCATAAAATTAGTAGGCCCATGGGTCATAAACACATGTCAAGAAGAAGACGTCAAGGTCTCTAGGAGCTTCCAAATTTCTTTTTCATGGGCATCCTTAAAATAGTTTGAGGGATTCTTCTATTCTATTCTTATTTTAAAGTAAAAGCTCAACTTTCCAACCTATGTTGCAAACAGCAGTCACAATAGCAGTACATAAAACAGTTGCTGGTGTAAATTTTACACCCTAAAGGTTTATTCTGTACTTGTCCAGCCTCTCCTAAGTAAAAAAGGATCGTGTGAACCAGGAACAAGCTCTGCATGACCTCTTCATGTTACAAAAGAGAAAAGGAAAGGAGCAAACCTCCTTCTCTGTGGTTTGAGCTTGGTGTGGTTACAATGTGAAGGAAATCCTCTAGCACAGAATACCAGAATGGTTAGTTGAAACAATTTTCGTTTTAAGAAACTCTAGTCCCTGTCCTTAGTTTGCTGCAGAGGTCCTGTGGTGGAGTCACACTCAGGACCATCTGAATGTTACAACAGGATGAGACAACTGAAGATGACAACAACATGAAATTATAACAAGCTGTAATTGGGGATGCAACTAAGATCCTTTGATCCTTGCTCTTCCATGAGGGTCAGCAACAAGCTGAGAGTAATTGAGCATTTCATTTTCTTACAGAAGCAAAGTGAGGTACCCAGGTGGTGTTATTGGCTGCTGCTGGTGGGTAATGTGCCACATCTGTGAGCACACAGCTGAGTCTGCTCTGCTGGTAAGGGCAGCAGGATTTCCCTGCTCACAGAGACAGCTACAGATACATCACAACCACCAGATGGAACAGACCTTTTCAGGTTAGCAGATAAATAAATACCTGGCAAGGACTCAAGGCAAGGTCAGACCTAACTTTGCATTTATTAGGAGAAGGGGGAATGGCTTTAAACTGAAGCAGGGGAGGTTTAGATTGGATATCGGGAAGGAATTCTTCATTCTGAGGGTGTTGAGGCATTGGCACAAGTTGCTCAGAGCAGCTGTGGCTGTCCCATCCCTGGAGGTGTTCCAGGTCAGGTTGGATGGGGTTCTGGGGTCACCTTAGAACCACTTCCAGTACCTAAATGTGCTCCAAGAGATCTGGAGAGGAACTTTAGACAAGGACATGGAATGACAGGACAAGGAGGAATGGCTCTAAGCTGAAAGAGGATAGCTTTAGATTGGGTATTAGGAAGGAATTGTTGGCTGTGAGGGTGCTGAGGCACTGGCACAAGTTGCTCAGAGTAACTGTGGCTGCTCCATCCCTGGAAGTGTTCAAGGCCAGGCTGGATGTGTCTTGAAGCCGCCTGGTCTGGTGGAAGATGTCCCTGCCCATGGCAGGGTGTGGAACTGGATAAGCTTTAAGATCCCTTCCAACCCAAATCCTTCCATGATTCTATGATCCTATAAAGATGTGTCAGTGCCTCAGTAACAGCACAGAAAGTCCACAAAGATATCAAGGTTTAAAATATGAACATTCTCATGGTTTCTTCTCTATCAAACTACATAAAGCAGCAGCAGAAACATCCTGTGAGACAAAATGGAATGGAATCTTTTTCATTTCTTTCTATTTTTCAGCTCTTCTATATTAATATTCCATGGCCTTGTGATACTGTGATAATCAGTCTCTTTCATGATAATTACCCCATCCCTGGAAGTGTTCAAGGCCAGGTTGGATGGGGCTTGGAGCATTAAAATACAGTTTTTTCATTTTCAATAAATGCTGTAGATTGCTTTGCTGACTGGATTCTACAAATCATTTCTCACCTATTTTCCTTTCCCTTTTCAGCTACCTGACACACACAGTTAAATTCAGCCACCTATTTTGAAGGAACATTTTTGTTTCAAATTAAAAAGTCAGATCTGATCCTGCACATGGTGTTCTCTTGCCACACTTGAAGAATCAAACTGACAACAGATCAAATCACTGCTTATTGTTTCTGCTTCTGGGAGAAGGAAACAGATACTTGGTCATCCTTTATGAAATGGGGAGGTCAAAGGAAAGAATTTTTTGCTCTCTATCATGATAAAAGAGTTTTATATATATATCTAGCTTTTTATATATTAATTGTAGATATGTCTTTATATATATATAACTTTATATATGTATAAATATATACATGTATATGTATATATATGTGTATATATGT